TCAGTGTGGGCTCCAAGTACTGGGGTTCTTGCATCGGGAAACAAACTCCTCACTTCTCAAGCAGAAGCTCCTGCTTTCTGAGATTCCTCCCAATGTTGGATCACTGTGCCAGGGGTGGGGGTTTTGGCAAGAGGGTTCTCTACCTCTCTTACCCGTCTCAGTATGGCACTTTTATTATTTATTGTGGAGGAGCTGTTCAGCTAGTGTTCAGGTCTTTTTCAGAGGGAATTATTTCATATGTAGCCATACATTTAGTGGGTTTGTGGGAGGAAGTGAGTTCAGGATCTTCCTGCACCACCGTCCTGGACTGCCCCTCCTCCTATCACCTCTACTGTTAATGATTGTATCCAGCGTAGTGATGCAGTAGCTGGAGTGCAGGGGTTAGGTCCCGGCTCCACTGCACCTGGCTCTATGACCTTGAATAAGTTCCACTGTGTGCCTTGCTTTTCCTCATCAGTTAAAAGTGGGGTTATTAAAGTATTTATTTGATATATTAATATGTAAACACTATGTGTTAGTTGACATTAAGGTTATTGTGGTTATAGTAATGATAATTATAATAATGGAGTGAAATAAATGAAATATTCAGATGAAAAACAAAAACAGTTGTCAAATATCTCAGGGTTTGACTTCATGTAGCATCCCAAATCGAGTTGCATTCTATATGTATTTGTGTATGTATGTCTGTGTGTATGGCAAGAGTTTGGATCTCTATATAGAATAACCGAGACCGAATATATACAAATGTCTTCTGCTTGGAATTTAATTGATCTGGGTCTTTTCTTATGTTTCAGCTGAAAAGGTTCATCTGTATTGTTTTAAGATATTTGTCTCAAAATAGATCACTACTGCCAATAACTAATACTACAACAATTTTAGTGTATCAGAGAGTGCCAGCTAAGATGGAGGTGTAGGCATAAATGCTTCACTTCCTCACACAATCAGAAGAAGGATAACAACCATTTAAAAAATAAAATGCAACCAGAACTGCATGGTTGCCAGACCATGCCAGAAAATCAAACTGCATGGAAGTCCAATAATCAAGGAGTTAAACATTCATCCAGACTGGTAGGAGGGGTGGAGATTGGGACAGAGAGGACTCGGTGCAAGGCAGCAGACGAGGAGGGTGAGGGCAATCCCACATTTGTGCAGAAAAGTGGGGAAGAACAATGGGGGAGAGACAGACTGCTGAAACTTTGAGAGAAACTAAAGCCTCAAAACCTATGACTATAAATTCTGTGGGGGTCATGGCAGCAGGAGAAACTCCCAGTCTCACAGGAGAGTCTGTTGGAGAGGCCCACAGGGTTTTAGAATGTACACAACCCACCTGTGAATCAGCACAGGAAAGGGCACAATCGTCTTGTAGAAAGTGGCATTGTTCTCTTTCTGACCCCTCACCCACAGACAGCACCACAACACAGCCAGTAGGGTTGCCTGGCCCTGGTGAATACCTAAGGCTCCGTCCCTTACAACAGAACTGGTGCTCTAAGACAAAGAGATATGGCCCAAATGAAAGAACAGATCAAAACTCCAGAACAAGAGCTAAGCAATGAAGATAGATAACCTACTGGTGCAGAGTTCAAAACACTGATATTCAGGATGCTCACAGAATTGATTGAGCTCTGTCACAAAATGAAGAAAGAAATGAAGGCTATACAAAGAGAAGTAAAAGAAAATATACAGGGAACCAACAGGGAAGAGAAGGAAACCGGGACTCAAATCAGTGATTTGGAAAAGAAGAAATAAACATTCAACCAGAACAGAATGAAGAAACAAGAATTCAAAAATATGAGGAGAGGCTGAGGAACCTCCAGGACAACTTTAAACACTCCAACATTAAATCATAAGGGTGCCAGAAGGGGAAGAGGAAGAGCAAGAAATTGAAAACCTATTTGAACAAATAATGAAGGAAAACTCTTCCCAAATCTGGCAAAGGAAATAGACTTCCCAGAAGTACAAGAATGTCACAGAGTACCAAAGAAATGGGACCCAAGGAAGAACGCGCTGAAGCACGTCATAATTAAGTTACTGAAGATTAAAGATAAAGAGAGAATCGTAAAAGCAGCCAGAGGAACCCTGGCTGGTGTGGCTCAGTGGATTGAGCACCGGACTGCGAAGCAGAGGGTTGCTGGTTCCATTCCCAGTTAGGGCACATGCCTGGGTTGCAGGCCAGGTGCCCCAGTGTGGGGAACACAAGAGGCAGCCACACATTGATGTTTCTCTCCCCCTCTTTCTCTCTCCCTTCCCTTCTGCCTAAAAATAAATAAATAAATAAATAAATAGTTTTTTTTTTTTTAAGCAGCAAGAGGAAAGGAGAGAGTTACCTATAAAGGAGTTCCTATAAGACCATCAGCTGATTTCTCAAAAGAAACATTCCAGGCAAGATGGGGCTGGAAAGAACTATTTGGAGTCATGAAAGGCAAGGCCCTACATCCAATATTACTCTATCTAGCAAAGCTATCATTTAGAATGGAAGGGCAGATAAAGTGCTTCCCAGACAAGATAAAGCTAAAAGAGTTCATCATCATCAAGCCATTATTACATGAAATGTTAAAGGGCCTTACCTAAGAAAAAGAAGAAGATCAAATACTACGAACAGTAAAAGGACAGCAAACTCATAATTATCAACAACTGAACCTAAAAAACAAAAACTAAGGAAACAACTAGAACGGGAACAGAATCAGAGAAATAGACATCATATGGAGGGTCATCGGTTTAGATGGGAAGGGAGAGAATGCGGGGAGAGGCACAGGGAATAAGATGCATAATTGGTAGGCATAAAATAGACAGGGGAGGTTAAGAACAGTATAGGAAATGGGGAAGCCAAAGAACTTATATGTACAACCCATGGACATGAACTAAGGGGCGGGTGGAAGGAAGAGGTATATGAAAGGGAAGAAAAAAGGGAACAACTGTAATGGCATAATCAATAAAATATACTTAAAAAAAGAATTTCAGTGTGTCAATAGCTTTATAACCCAGACTTATCTTTTACATATTATGACCAAGTATCAAGGTTTAGAATTCTAGTTACTGAGGAGTAGCCACAATGGTTGAAGTGTGTACCTATCCCTGATACAGGAAATTGTTAACTTGTCTTATCTTTAGTGGCTACGAGATAGTTCTCCAACCACTTCCCTTCTTGACCTCCTTCCTCTCCCCTTTTTCTTCTTGCACTTCCCTGTTATGTTCCCATATGCATTTAGTCTTCACACATACAGCTCCAGGTATTCCAAACTAATTTCCAGTCTCCACGTGTGTCGTGCTACCTCTTGCCCGTCCGCCGTTGCACAGGCTGCTTGCTCTGTCTAAACATCTTTTCCCTGTTGGCCACCTGACTCTGCCTTATGATTACATTAGACTGAACTTGGACCTCATCTATGAGAAGTCTTCCCTAATTTCCATCACCTTCTTGCATGTCGCTTTATGATTCTGTTTTTGCTTCCCCACTAGACGATCAGTTCCTTTTTTGTAACTGCTTGGTCCTGACAGCTTCTAGCACATGCTTGGAATACAGTAGGTGCTCAGTGGTTGTCCACTGACTGAACAAATGAATGGGTGTATTTATGTATGAAAAATTTAAAATAATTTGTACCAGGCAAGGAGGGGTAGCTTTAGTAGGTCTAAACAAAGTAAGTATAAGGTCTGTCAGCCAGTTACTTTTAGATAAAAGTAGAAAAACTTTTGCAGTTTTAAAATTGCACAGTATTTGGCCATGACCCTTCAGTGGATTGGGCATTGTCCTACAAGGTGAAAGGTTGCCTGTTTGATTCCCTGTCAGGGCACATGCCTGCATTCTGGGTTCAGCTTCCAGTCAGGGCGTGTACAAGAGGCAAGTGATCGATATTTCTCTCATGGATGTTTGCCCCCTTCTCTTTCTCCCTCCCTTTCCTTATGTCCAAAATTAAATAAAAATCTATAAAAATACAAATAAAATTGCACAGTATTTGGCCTGAGGTTGTATATTAAAGGTGACTTTATTTGCATTGATATAGCAGCTGAAAGTGACCACTGCAGTTGTTAAAAAGGTTTCAGATCTGATGAACAGTGATAAGAAATGAATATCATGAAAGCAAAGTTTCTGTATTTTAGGTTTCTATTAAAGTAATAATAAAGCATTGCCTGTAAACAAATAATATGAATATACTCAAGTAAATAGGTATAATACTTAGTAAATAATGAAATGCTCTCGGAACTGTAAAATGTTTCCTCTATGTACTATACATTCATAGCATATAAGCAACTATGTCATTCATAGTTTCTCTTTTTATCTTGGCTTTTTTTTATGTGAGTTGATCAAATCTTTTATTTTCTCCTGGTATCAATCTGATGTGAATCTCAAAGTCTGAAAGGTGATGCAGTCGTTATTTTGATTCCCTGTTTCAAATTCATTTTGAATGAACAAATTCATTTTCGGAAATCTTGGCGGGGGGGTGTTTTTGTATACCCTGAATAAATACTTTAATTACTTTTGTTGGAACAGGAGTTACTTTAGAAGTTATTTTGCAAACAAAATAAAGCCTGTAATTCAAGGATTCCTTGGTTATATCTTTCGTAGGTGATGATAATTTACTGTGTGCTAGGTGCTGGTCTGAGCACTTTAGATGAATAATGTCCTTCTATGGAGCAAGTCCTCTTATGACCCTGTGTTACAGGCGAAGGAACAGATGAGACAGGTTAGGAATCGAGTCCAGTGTAACAGCTCAGCGGCAGTGCTGGGCTCTGGCTCCAGAGCCCGTGCCCTTGACCATGCTACTAGGCTGCTTCACAGACCCATTCACTCTGTTTCTTCCTTGCACCTGCTTTTCTGTACGATCCTGAACATTGTTGTCATGATGTTAGTATTATGTCATTTTTTTGTAATGAGAAAAGTGTTCCTTTTTTACATGAGGAATTCCTTATATTATGTGGCATAAATTAAGGAGCATGAAGGTTAAGTTTACAAAGTTGAATTCTTTGTATCAAGAATTTATGTGTCCACCATTTAAATTCTTGAATAGATGTTGCTATCGGAGCTCCACAAGAAGATGACTTGCGAGGCGCTGTGTATATTTACAATGGCCGAGCAGATGGGATCTTACCAACCTTCTCCCAGGTAGGAGGAGACAATGCTATTTTCAAAAGAAGCATTGGCAGTAAAGACTTCTTTAAATTTTCTACTGTTAATGTGGACTTACTTTTCTTAATTTTCTCATTCAAATACTTAATATTCTGTTCCACCATTTTTTATCATTAAAATACATGGTCTTATTTTTAACAGCAATGATAAGTCTTTGGAACCATTTTTTTCCCCATAAATAGGAGTTCTAGTTCACTTTTATTCCAGTTTGTCTTTAACTGTTTAAGATTTCTCTCTGCATTTCATTAAATTTATGTTCTGAGGTAATAGCTATACCATTCCAAATAAGCCCATTTGGGTTTGATTAACTGTGTCATGTCTTGTGGCCGAAGTCCCATGTTTCATGGAGATCACACAGGGAGAGCAAACACTCACATGATACTCGGTGTTCCTTTTGCTGCAAAGCAGTGAGGCAATAGCACTTTAATAAGGTTCTCTGATCTAACTCTGACTTCACTTTCATATTTTGAAGCACAGGCCATTTTAGTGCATAGAAAAAAAAGCTACATACACATGCAGAGAAGAAAGGCTTTTCCAAAGATACTTTTATGGAAACATTAGTTATACTGTTACATCTGATTGGATAAAAATAGTCAGGTGGCTTTCCATATTTAACATAAAAGGTATGCGTTTGTCTGCTAAAAAAAATACTGATTTTTCTAAGTACGGATAGCAGCCTGATATTTGTAAACCACCATCTGGACATGAAGTCAGACACCGGATAGGAAGCACTTAACTTGAGCTGTCCTGGTCAAGCGCTGGGAAGCAGTCCGGCTAGATAGGGTGGCTCTCATCGTAAGCCTAAGTGGTAGGCTCCACTAAGGGATCTGAAGTGTCTTTTTTTCCAGATTACTTGTTTGGTAATTCATGTTGGTCAGGGAAATGAATACACAACCTGAAAGTAGACTGGGGAAAGGGGTCAGGACTGTCACAGAAGGTGTGGACTATGTCATTTCCCTTTGCTCACAAAGTAAAGAAAGTTATTTTTTTCTTATCATGAAATAGATGTCAACTGCCCTCTGAAAGCTAGAAACTTTTGTTTGTCTTAGGTGCAAGTATTTGACTTAACTAAAGTTTTGTTCATACATGTGCCAGGGCATCAGAAGGCTTATTTTTTAACTAAATCATTATTTCTCTGAAACATTAGGAGTTCAAAAACACTTCTCACTCAGCTTGTTTATTTTTCAGAGAATTGAAGGGTTTGAAATCAGTAGATCCTTAAGTATGTTCGGACAGTCTATATCTGGGCAGATTGATGCAGATAATAATGGGTATGCAGGTGAGTATGAAATTTACCTTATTTTATATATTGGAATAAGCTCCATTGTGGGTGCTGCTTTATTGAGAAGTACGTAGATGGCATGGAAGAGTTCTAATTTAGTGATAAATTTTTAGCCTTCATTTTTGAAGCTTTTTTTGAATTCAAGGATGGGTGTGAAATGATCAAGTAATTCCTGAGTTTTACACTGTTAGTTATTTTTTTATTTCTTGTTCTTGAAAAAATTTAAAGTACCCATAAAAGTCCACGTAAATGAAAACACGGTGATGAAAAGAAAGGAGTTTCTTTTTGTGTGTGTATTTGAAAGATTTCTGGGTGAATATTTCTAGTTGAAAAAACAGGATTTTCACTTTATATCAAAAAATTTATATTATGTTATAAATGAATGAATGTCATTGTAATTGAGTAAATTCAAATAAATGTGGAATGAGTCCTAAGATGTAAGCATATTTTTTCTAATTAATTTTTTATCAATACTGTTTTGGTATAGTCAAAAGGTGATATGTTGTTGAGTATGTCTGACTGAAAGGTAATTCTCTTTGACTAATGATGATTACTACTCCATGTGGTTCTTTGCCCACCAGATGTAGCAGTTGGTGCTTTTCGGTCTGATTCTGTGGTGTTGCTAAGGTAAGGATGGTACATTTCACTGCTTACTGACAATTGGGCTTAATTGTAAAGGATGGGAGGCAATTTTTTAAATCAGTGGTGGTGGCCTCATAATGTTCTTTTTGGTATTCTGGGATTTAATTACTTGAACTCTAGGATACTTTTCTCACCTTACATAAATATAATTATTATGATCAGACAAAGTCAATATTTTTAGAAATTTAAATGAAAATTCCTCTTGATTCAGGCATGGAAATGTAATTGAGTTTATGTGCACATACTCTTAATAAAGTAGTTTCATGAAATTACTTGGTCAATGGAAACTGACAAACAAATTAAATCTTTCCTAAGGAAAAATAATTCTGTAATTAATATTACTAATTTCATTTCCTCCTTAGGACAAGACCTGTACTGATTGTTGAAGCTTCTTTAAACCATCCTGAGTCAGTAAATAGGACAAATTTAGACTGTTTTGAAAATGGATTGCCTTCTGTGTGCATGGAGCTAAGACTCTGTTTCTCATACAAGGGCAAAGAGGTTCCGGGTTATATTGGTAAGGGTGCCCTTACAAAGTTAATAGAGTTTGTACTTTACTCATTAATCTAGAAGTCATCTTTGGAGCCCTCACTGTGCTTCACCATGGAGGGCTGCCTCAGGGGGGTGAGAGCAGTCACCTGGTAACACATCTCTCTTCCCCATCTTTCATATCCTCTTGTTATTCTGCCTGATGAGTGGGGCACATTAGGCAGAGGCTCCAGTTATTTAGAGGTTATGATAAGAAGCAAATAAAGTCCTGACTGGTGCGGCTCAGTGAACTGAGTGCCGGCCTGTGAACTAAAGGGTTGCTGGTTCGATTCCCAGTCAGGGCACATGCCACCCAGCTCCCTAGTTGGGGGATCCATGAGAGGGAACCACATATTGATGTTTTGCTCCCTCTTCGTCTCTCTCCATTCCTCTCTGTCTAAAAATAAAATATTGTTTAAAAAGAAGCAAATCCAGAGTATCACTTGCTATACTATTTAAAGTGAACTAACTGAGCTCAATCTGTAAGAGCTCTTTAGAATAGAAAGAACATCCCTATAGCTCTTTTTTTTTACTGGGCTTCTTAAAGCCTGGTGTTGACTTAGGTTGGAAACCTAGAGAGAAAGAAGATTCTTCTCTTTATATTCTACCCAGTTTGAGTAATTTATCTGAGGTCTAGACCCTGATTCTAATTTTCATAAGTAACACACATCTGCTAAAGATTTAGCATGACTCATGGCAGCTGAGCACTCATGCCCATTTTTCTCTATGTAGGTAATTCTCAGTTACCTACTTTCTGCAGAAAGTAGCATTGAAATGGCTTCCCCAAAATTGTGGTTAATCCCAAATCACAAAATGTGACTTCATAAGGATAACATGTTTTTCCAGCAAGGTAATATTCCTAATTATGTCGTATTTAAACTAATGTGAGCGTAAGTACTAGTAGCCTGTGGTAAGGGAGAAGCACACCTGGGTTTATCATTTGAACCTCAGGACTTCACAAAGTTCGGGAGGTCCACAAGGGCTGTCAAGAGTTCACTGTACTAATGCCCCTGCCGGCTGTTGTCATCTAAACGTGAAGGGCAGCAGGCACTGAACTGAGCTACAGATAGGTCACAGGTGTCCCAGCCGGAATTAGCCTGGGGTGAAAGGTACAGAACGAGCCTAGCATCTCTACTTGTGGTCATTTTTGATAGCTCTCTGCAAAGTCCTGGCTAGAGATGCAGTGATAGGACTGCAGGCAAAACCTTCATCTGGCACTTGATTGGAGAAGTGGCGATATAAGGGCATAACCCTAGTAATACAAGGACACAGAAAAGCTGATGGATTCTCTGAAATATACACGTTAAATCAATAGCACCATGTCCCTTTATGTAAAATCACTATTTGTTGTACTACCAATTTCACTGTGAACCAGGTATTTTTAATTGGTTGAAAACAAAAATATGACATTCATAAGTAGTCACAGCATTGTTACAAAAACATGCTTTATAGTTGATGTAAAATAACTCCTTGGGAGAAATAATTCACATTAAGCATGATAAATAAAAGGAAGATTGACATGTATTTGAAGGTTTTATACTTAGGTTTCCTTGAAATAAGTTGATATTATCCTTCCAGAAGACTTAGTTACTCCTAAAATGTAAATGAATTCTTCAGGAATTATATACATTCTTCAAAATATCACTTAAGGAATTATTGGTTCTGTATGAGTGACACCAGCAGACTGTCAGAGCTTGCTTTGCAGAGATCCCTTTTAGATTCTTGATACTATCTGGCTTAGGATTTTTTTTTGGTTGCTCGTCAATTTTCCTTATCTTTTTGCTTATTAAAGATCATTAACAGATTGATTATTTACTACATGAGATTTAGTAGATTGATTACTTACTATGTCAAATTTTAAATAAGTTCTGACCAAACTGCCAAAATATTTATTTGGAGAATGCCTGCCTATATTTGTTTATTTCTGCACAAATCAGCTCTCCAAGTTCAAACTAGAAACCGATAACAACATGGAGGAGACTAATCAGGGCCTAGGGCTGGGAAAGATGTCTTTGAGTCAACTGTTCAAGAGGTTCGAATTTTGAATCATGTGTTCACTTTGCATGAAAAAAATCAGTGAGTAAACTGAAAGTGTCAACCCCTCAAATTGGAAACAAATGGAAATAAATGAACCTAACAACATAGGAAATCAATTCTGTAACCACACAAGACGGAAATATTGCAGGTGACATTTGTGCACTTGCTCTGCCTGTACTTCCTTAGGTGTCCTGAGGACAAGAAGGACTCCAAAGAAATGTGAAACTTTACCCTGGACTTTTACTATTGCTAACAATTTTGGTATTGTTGTTCTGAAACATTTCTATGTAGGAGGATTTAGCAAAAAAACTAAAGACTTTAATATTGTTAAAAACAGAAACCTAGAGAAGAGTTTATAACTTTTTCTTTGTAAAAATAACTTTTGAAATTGTATTTTAAAGTTGTTTCCTCTTTCATGTTTCAGGTTAGCTTTACAAAGCTATTTAATGAGGATATTTCCAGTATTCTCTGTAACTTTTGACTATTGCCACTTCAAAAATAAGCACTTTAAATGCCTTTGGATAATTATTTACACTGATCACAGTTCTCTCTGCGTTTTTGCAGTCTTGTACTACAACATTAGTTTGGATGTGAACAGAAAGGCAGAGTCTCCATCGAGGTTTTACTTTTCTTCTAATGCAACTCCTGATGTGGTCACAGGAAGCATGAAAGTATCAAGCACAGAAGCTAGCTGCAAAATACATGAGGCGTTTATGCGGGTAATGGAAACAAGTTTTTTAAAAATATTTTATTTATTGTTTTTAGAGAGAGGGGAAGGGAAGGAGAAAGAGTGGGAGAGAAGCATCAATGTGTGTTTGCCTCTCATGTGTCCCCTACTTGGGGACCTGGCTTGCAACCCAGGCAAGTGCCCTGACTGGGAATCGAACCAGTGACCCTTTGCTTCACAGGCCTGTGCTCAATCTACTGAGCTACACCAGTCAGGGCTGGAAATGAGTTTTTATTAATGAATGTGTAACCTTCAATATTATCAGTACAGTAAAAGTCGAAGTGCATTGGCATCTTTTTATAAAATATTGTTAAAAGCAAGCGTGACCCACTCCTGAACTCGCTGACCTGTTGCTGAGTCATTTGCCAACCTAACCTGGATAATTCAAAGTTCGCATTTTGCACCTTCCTTGTTCCACATTTATTACATTTTGCTGCATCACTAATTGAAGATACTTGTGTTTTCCTTTCTATACTTGTCTAGAAATGAACGTATTGAATGGCTCTGCCGAGCCTCAGATCCTTTCCTGAGTAGGAATTTGTGGGGAGGAGCGTGGGGAGAGGAGGCAGGAGGTGGGAAAATGGGTATATTTTCCATGTGACTCTAACAAAGCGGAATTTGACATGCCTGCTTTTGGATTGTGCCGTTGTCTCCTCGCCAGCATTGTCGGTGATGTCAGCGGGAACTCGCGCAGGCGCAGGGGTTGGGATCAGCTGCGGGCCAGGACACCGGCTTTCATGATGCTCTGGGGAACGTCCTGCCAAAGCACAGCCGATTTCATGTTTCTTTTATTAAAACACTCATTCCCAGAATAATCATCACGTTCGTTGAGTTGGTCAAATTTTATCATGTCATGCAGTGCCAGGTCTTTTTCATTAGGGAATGGTGTACTTCATCAGAAAACCTATTGTCACAAACAAGCCAAACTGTTCCCAGGGGCCCTCTCCGGGATTTAAAATAGTAGCCTCTGCTTAGAACTTCATTTTCCCTTAGATACTTATTCCAAGCAAAGGCAAACAAGCAGTAGGACTCCGGAACACTGTGAAATGCTAAGAGCACTAATCCTGGTGTGATTTCTTCATTTCCCTTAACTGTTTTTATCATTGTACTAGAATAAAGCTATCAGATGGTTGAGAGCCAAGAGTGTAGAATGATATTAATGTAACCATCGTTTATATGGTAGAGATTAAAGAGGTTCTTCTCTTGTAAATTCTCCATAGTTAATTTGAGAGACTAACACTGAGACCATTTTAAAGGCAATAAAAGGGCCAACATTAGACATTCACAGAGAAATAGATATTGTGTTGAATTTGTATAAGTAGCAGTAAATTGCTCTGATTTCTTTAGGCCCGTGTTTCCTGGCATCATTCCCATGAATAAGTATTCATCAACATCAAAATTGCACACTTTCTTTGGAATAAATTTGTAGTGGAAGTGACATTTTAGCCGAGGTTTCTGTCTTTGTTGCCTGTATACTTGTAAGTGTTACCATGGTACCAGAGGCAGTAGGTTACAAGCCGCTGACTTTGGGCTGTATTGTCGGTGTCAAACAGAAACACTTAGCTCTGGGGTTGATACCTAGTGAGGATTTAAAAAAAATAAACATGACCGTTTCTTTCCATGTTTCCCCCCCTTCCGAAATTACCTTGCTTTTGTTTAGGACATTTTAAAACTCAGAAAGAGGAAGGGCAAAGGGCTACGGCAACCCTCTCACAGCAAACCCCGGGGGGAGGTGAGAACCACAGAAGCAGCTTCCCCAACCTTGAGCCCTAGCAAACAGCGCTGGCTGTTATTTACGGAAGTGTGGGAGTGCAGCAAGTGCATTTTCCACCCCCGCCAGCTCGTCTCAGAAACATTAACACTGCTTCTACTGTCAAAGGATAGACAGCAACCTGAATTCTGATTATCTTCTGAACTGACAGGGGAAAAAGAAGATGGACTCTGGTCAGGAAGACTGGATTGTTCCTTTGTTCTATAACACGTGTCCAGTGTCAGCAGTGTTGATATGCAGATGCATTCGACCTTGACACCCCTCACAATGAAATGAAGTGTTGCTTATTAATTATCTCAGGCCCACGGACCCCTCGCTCAGAGGATAGCTGGCCTGCTAGTTAGGCACACTTTCCTCGTGTAGTTGTTTGCAGTGACTGTACCAAGTCAGCTCCACTTACCCACTCAGTTGCTTTAGTGCATATTTATTGAGTTATAAATTTGTGTCAGTTTCTGTTTGAGACACTTGTGATCACCGAATGCTACATAAAATGATTACTGTCCTCATGGAGCTTATATTCTTGTGAGGGTGAGACAGACAATAACATGATCAAAACGTAAATTGTATAGTATTTTAGAAAAAGATATGGGTGATGGGAAAAGGAAAAAAAGGGCAGAGTTGAAACAAATTATGGAGTTCTATGGAAAGAGTGAAGAATACAATTTTACATGGGCCTTATTCAGAAGGCGATATTTGAGCAACGACTTGAAGTGAGAAAGTTACTGTGTAGACCTCTTGGACAGTGGTTCTCAGTGTTTGCATGTAACAACAGCATCACCTGGAAGGTGTGTGAAAACACAACTTGCTAGATTTGGTAGGTCTTCAATGAGGCCTGAGACTGCATTTCTACAAAGTTTCCGGGTGATGCTGATGACTCGGGAGTCAGACTTTGAGGACTCCTGATCCAGAAGAAGAACATTACAGGAAGGAGAGCGAGATAAAAATGCCTCAAGACAAAAATGCTCCTGGTTGTTTGGGGAACAATGGGGAGGTGAGGACGGCTGGGAAAGTGAGCTAGGGGGAGAGTAGTGGAAAAAGACATCATATGGGACCTTGACTTTTTATCTGAATGAAATGAGGATTGAGCGGATTCAGTAATAAGAAGGAATCCACTAACTGCTGTGTTACACTAGACAGACAGTAAGGGACCAAGGGCTGACACAGGGAGAAGAACATATGGTAATAACCCAGAGGATACAGTGTGAAGTGATGGCTTCATCCAAGGTGGTGGCAATGGATATGGCGAGAGAGAGTCAGAAGGAGGGCTTACATAATTTGCAGGCAGATGGGATGTCTGGCATTTGAGAAGGATGCTATGAGATGACTCTAAGGTCTTTAGCCCACACAACTGGAATAATGTAGTTTTTATCCCTTGAGATAATATGCAAGGGAAACAGTTTTGGGGTGGAAAATTCTGGAGTTTAGTGTGGACCTGCTGAGGTATATACACATGTTTTGCTTTTGAGTATAAATATCAACTGAACATGTATACCCTCATCTGGAGTTGGGGAGAGTCATAGGACTGGAAATATAGTTTAATGCAGCTTCGGCATAAAGATGGTTTTTAAAGCCCTGTGGATGGCTGAGATCACCCCAGGAGGAGAGAGTGAAGGTGTGCACACTGGGACGCTACAGCATGAAGTGATTAGAGAGAACAAAAGGCTTACAAGGGAGATGAGAAGGACTGAACAGTAAAGAAGAAAAGCAAGAGCTTGTGGCATTCTGGAAGTGCAGTGAATAAAGCAGGGAAAAGAGATGACAGTATTTTCAGTCCTGCTGTTTGGTCAAATTGAATGAGAGCTGAGAACAGACCACTGGGTTTAGTGATGCAGAGGTCATTGCTGATCATGGTAATAGCATTTCAGAGGAGTAGAGAAAAGGAGAGAAGTTGGAGACAGACTACAGAATTATTCTTTCACAAAATTTTGTTCCACCTGGATGAAAGAAATGGCGTTGGGAGTCAGTAGCTAGCAAGAGAAGTGGAATGAAATGTTCCTTTTTTAAAGATAGGAGAAATGTCATGTTTTTATAATGAGGGGGGTATTCCAATAGAGTGCGACATTTATAACATAGATGAGAGGAGAGAACAGTTGGAGCGAAGTTCTTGAGAAGGCAAGGGAGATGGGATTAATTGTACAGAGGAAAAGATTGGTTCTAGGTCGGCATATGTGAAGTTCATCTGTGTGGGTTTGTAGGTCTGAGCAGATGTGATGAGGACTGCATAAGTTCTCTTCTGATTACTTTCATACTCCCATTGAAGAAGCAAAGTCATTAGCTTGAGTAGGGATGGAGTAAGTGGTATTTGGAGTGTAGGAAGAAGGTCCTATATAGCTTTATGACTAAACGGGAGAGGAAGGAAGTACAATATGGTTGTGAGATGGCATTGGGATCCACCTTGTACCCATGGTCATAAAGTAAGATTAGTCAGAGGGTTATGGACTTTTTTTAGTCACATCCAACCTCCCAGGTGAAAGTGGATGAATAGTAATGGTTAACCAAGGCTGTGGTTTAAGCTGAAGGAGTGAAGCAAACAAACGGGGCAGAGAGTCAAGGGAGTACTCGAGGGAGCGCTTGCTCTGAAGTTTAAGGAGGGTGAGGAGAGCGGAGGACATCAAGGGAGTGAGGAACAGAGAAAAAGTTAAATCGGAAGTCTCAGTGGGATCAGTGAATTTTTGGAATGGAGTATTAAAGGGAATAAGCTGGAATGATATCATCAATATTACATGTGACAGCCATTCGGGACCTGAAGTCGAGGGAAAGATTGAATTTTGCTCGTACTCCTGTTCACAATTCCTTGGTTATCTCACATAAAGGAAAGTCTTTAGGTCTGTTTATTTGTATAAAAGCTGTCACATTTTGATGGCCGAGATCACCCAAGAGTAGAGGGTGAAGGTCTGCACCTGAGATGCCACAGCATGAAGTTGAACTCAAATTTCATCATAAAAGTTGGGCTTTATTAAATCCTGTTTTAAAAATCACATTCTCTAGTTTCATACATTGGATCTTGGTCTATATGGGATACATTTTGAACTACCTAATAAGCATCTGTCAGTAGCATGCATATTTTCTGGTGTGTTATTTTTTTGAGACTGTACAGCCATTTATCTGGTTGGTAAGCGCATTCGTTTTCCCAAGTCTACTTAATCTAATCATTAAAGCAGTTGTCACATAGGATTGTTTTGTGGGAATGGTCAAAATTTGTTGTTCAAACAATAGAAAGGAAGCCAGAAATTGTTTTTTTTTTTTTTACAGAACTCCATTTTATTTTAGTTGCTTATAATTATGCCAAGCTTTAGTTTTTTGCTGTTAGAGGTAAAATTAATGGATTTTCTAAAGCAGAGCCTAGAATTTATAGTTGAGCATATATAATAGCTTTCTGTGATATAAGAGAAATGATTCATTTTATACTTTTTACTGTTTTATCTACTGAAATTCTCTTCTGCTAGACATCACTTTTCCATCAATGAAAATGTTTTCCCATCCATGTATGTGTATAAGAATGGATTTTTGTCTTTGTTGTGTTCAAATACACAACTTTGTTAGATCTTAGAGATTTCCTTGGACAGCATCTTAGGACCAGGGATAATTTTGAGGCTGTTTTGATTTAGAGAAACCCAGCCGACAGCTGGCAGCAGTTTTTGGAAATATTGGAGCAGCCATGGCAGTGAGATGTCCTTCAAGGTTTCTCTAGATGCTGTTTCTTGGATGAACTTCATGGAATCTCTGCATCAAAATATTCACTGATGGTTGAGAAGAGAAAGGGTGCTACACTGGGGTAACAAATGATGTAGCAGGATTCCCTTCCTGCCTACAGTGTTTTCAATGAAAGCTAGAAGTACCTAGTTGAGTCATCAAACCAGGAAAGCTTATTGGTGCTTAGAGGTCCAGTGAGTACAGTCGGCTTACTAGCATGTTGTGTAATACCATGAAATCAACCTGCCTACCTACTTAGTGAATTAGTTCATTCTTTTCTATCCCTTGGTTTTCCTAATTTTTGGATTTTAAATTTTTGAAGTAAAGGAATTTAATTTTGTTATATATCTCTTTGGATGATTTCTAGAACCCATCTTTTTTCAGTAATAACATCAAGAGAATGAATATTTGATTAGTAAATACATTTTATTTGTATTTTTATTATGTTTTATATATTTAATTTGCTTATACAAGCACATAGTTTAGTAGAGTGCCATTTGCTCCAAAGCAGTTATATTTGAATCACAGCACACTATGGACCAATCCATATATGTTGAAAGTTTAAGTGCAAGTAAGCTATATAACTATACTGACAGTATGGTATTCTAGAAATTAATTGATACCTCAACATATGTTAATTCTTTGTTAGATGGCAAGGTCTTTGAAGACAGGATATTTTCTTTTGCATGTTTATATTGTTCTTAGAACTAACACACTACATGAGACAGAAAATTGATGAATATTTAATCAGTTTTTGGATAACATCTTTTCGATGCTATTTAAAGAAATATGTGAGGGAAAATCTGAACACGTTCTGTTGGTATAGTGGTTAGGGCACCTGCCCTGGGGTGTTGTGTTTTCTCAGGAAACTGTTGCGCCAGGTGTTGACAGTTCTGCATCTCCTGACCCAAGCTTCCTAGATACAGTGATTATAATTGCACACGGTCATGGTCATGCAGGTTTTCGGGTTCCAGTCCATGACTCAGACCTTCTACCTCCTCAGCCCATTCCCCACGTTGGTACTAGAGGGGCATTTCAAAAAACTCAAACCTGATCATATTTCATGCTCAAAATTCTTCTGTGTAAGAACCTTCCCATCCCCCTCCTTCTGTACATGTGTGTGCATACATCACACACTCATCTTTCACACTATGTGTGTGGATTTATGGGTTATAGACTGTGACTTAGGTACCGACATTCAGTTTTGTGTCCCCGAAGCCTGCCTTGTACACAGTGGATCCATGGATACCATCAAATGTTTATAACTCAATATCATTTTTCATTCATTAATATTTTATAAATATTTCTAGCTCCACTCTTAAATTCCTTCACTGCATAAGTACAATAGGAGGCGTGGGCCTATAGCTTGGTTCTCAAGTTGGCCATAAATACAAATTTCCATAAAAGTCAGACAAGAAAGAAGATTTTGTACAATTTCAGGCATGTGCTTATTTGTGAGCTGTGGGCGTCTTATGTAATTATTCATAAAAATGGGAAATGGGATCTTCATTGTTTTTAATATAACTAGCACATGCCCATACAAATTGAAAATTTTAAGCAAATCGACTTTTTCCCTCCCAAATACTTAATTAGTCACTTTAAGACATTTTTTGATATTCTAGCATTTTTCCTTAGGTGAGCTGTTAAAGTTAAATAAGTGTGAATATCTGTCAAGTACAGTGCTTGCGAGAGTGCACGTACATTCTATACACTGTGAGAAAAGCATAATTAATAGCTAATTAGGATAATGAAAGTAATATACACCAGATGTAGAAAAGACCTCGTGGAAAATTAGTATGAATTAGATAACATGTGATTTGGTCAAAGCAAGCTTGTTGAGAAGAATTAAAACAGTGGACATGTGGAGGGACGATCTGTGGCTGTCCAGCTCCTACATCTAGGGGATAATTTAATCAAGTTTGCTATTGTAATACTCAGGGCTTCAAGCTGTTCCATTTTCATGAGTTGATAACTTGGGATTTGGGCCTTGATTTTCGGCATTCCTATATGGTCAAGTTTTTGTATTGAGATGACCACTTATCAAGTAATTTAATGCAGTCATCTCCACATATAAGATAGGAAAAGTAGTAGGAGATCTTGAGTACTGTGACTCATGCTCCAAGTCTTCCAGGAGCCACTTAATTAACACAAGTCTAACAATTGTTATGTAGCTCATTTTAATGTTCTGGCAGTCGTCTAATTTTCTTTTTTTTAATTCCTTCCAAATGTTTACCAGAATTTCTTATTATAAGAAACTGAAATTCAGTAATTCCTTGTTGGCTTATGTAGCTACATTTCGAAAGCAACATACACATAATAATGTCTTACATCTGCTGAGACCTTAATAAACAGCAGATATTGTGCTAAGAGTTTTTATGTACATTGTACCATTGCATCTTCACAATAATACGGTGTAAGTATCATCATTCTCATGATAATTTTTCTGCTTTTCAGAAGAGGTAGCCCAACCACAGATTAACTAATTTGCCTAAGGTTACAGTGGTAGTAGGTGATGAACCTGATTTGAACTTCAGTAGTCTCCCTCCAGAACACTTACCTTCACCTCTGCACACATGTGTTGATAATGTGGTGACTGGTGAGAAAGAAGAAATATTACATCTATTTTTATAATTACATAAAGGCATAGAATAAATGTAGTCTTTTATGTGACGTATACCATAACGTCACATATGCCTTTATTTTACTTCACTGATGGTATCAAGTGACAGTAGCTGTAGGTAGCACAGCAATAATCTCTACAACAGATACTTTTTCTATCCATTAGAGATTATTAATCTTTGTTTTTTTCCCTTTTACACAGCAATGTTTAAGCCATATTCCAATTCTGAGGTGTCTGTAGGTAAATAGAAACCTGACCCACTGACATTATTAGTAGGAGGTCTGTGAATTACAGATAAAAATTAAAGGAGGAAAAATTGAGACAGTTGTAATAGAGTAAATGAGAATAAAAAGTTAAAAAATTATTATGATGTTAAATTTAAAAGAATGTCATACTGAGTGTGATGGATTCTGAATAGGCTACAATTTCTGTATAAATGATAAATAAATCCAAGAACACTTTTTTGTGAAGTATAAAAATAATAAACCTGGAAAAAAGTTATAAAACAACTAGCAAGAAGATTCAGTAAATAAATTTTATCCTATTTAGGATAAAATATTAAATGTACAAAATAAATAACTTTGCTATATATCATTTATAATCTGTTAGGAAATACAGTTGGGAAAGGTTTGTAAAGGATATGCTTTATAATATATATAAAATCAAATGAATCAAATTGTATCAAAATGTAATAAAAGGTTGGCCATGGTTGGGGCAGGGGAGAGCAACAGGAAAAAGGGGGACAACTGTAACTGAACAACAATAATTAAAAAATTAAAAGAAAACTTGAATAAATGGAGAAATTATATTTCTATAAGTGTACTAGAGGAAAATGTTAAATAGAATAAAATGTTCATTAGTACTTTGAAATGATTTATGAGAAACTTACAGTGAAAAATACTTATGTTATAATGTCAAGTTATAAAAAAAGTGTGTATAGAAAATACCATGGAAGAAAATGTACCCAACAGTAGACCTTTATATACTATCAGAGGATTATAGTTTTTCATTTTTATGCTATTTTTGTGTTGTTTCCTAAAAACATGAATGTTTCATAATGTGAAAAAATATACACATTTAACTTAATAAAAATAATTTATATGAAAAGGTAAGAATATTTTTGATTTCCATGTGGTGCATTGGGCCTTATGCAGGAAAGGAGGAGCTCTCTATATTTTTAAACTTTCATGCTGCTTTTTATTTTTAATTCATATGGTTTTAAATTTCCTTAGAAAGATGTGCGAGACATCCTCACCCCAATCCAGATTGAAGCTGCTTACCACCTTGGGCATCATTACATCGACAAACAAAGAACAGAGGAATTCCCACCACTTCAGCCAATTCTTCAGCAGAAGAAAGAAAAAAACAGAATTGAAAAAACAGTAGGAATATTTTCTTTTATTCCAAAATTGTGACATGTAACTACAGAGTTTTTCTTTTTGACCTATCGCATAATTCTGGAGAAATGAACTCAATTTTTAAAAATTTTATTGATTTTTTAATATAAAAGATTTATGGTATCTTGTTTTTTATTTGTATTCTCTTTAGGATAGGAGCTGAATATTTAAAAATATGCATGTAGTGGTAGCAGTGGTTTATAACACAACATGTTAATTTTCTCTTCTCGATGCCCTGCCAGTGAAGAAAGCACATTGCTAGACAGCACTCATAATGGAAGTGAGTTGCATTCATGAGTCAGTTACTCAGAGTCGCCATGTGTGTTCAGTGTATCTTTCTCTTTCTCATTTTCTGTTTCTTCTCTCTGTTTTGTTTCCCTCTCTCTCACTACCCCCACCCACGATTCACTTGTGTCTTATTAGTTAAATTCCTTTGCTGGGTTTTACTCATTTATAAACATGTATTTATGTTACATGACAGTTTCTCTTTTTAAATGTAACTGCTTCTCAGCCTCATGCCAGGACTAACTGCATTTTGAGATGGGTGCTGCATTCTAACCATGAACTGCTTTGTCCAGTTTATCCCAGAATATATCAGCTTCCTTGACAGTGTGTTTACTTCTGGGGGTCCAGTTGTTCAGAACTTTTCTGTCCAACAGCACAAAGGCATAGTCAACAGAATGTTTTGGGGTATGATAAAAGCATTCATTAAAATGTTTGCCAGTGGCACACAGAATGTGAAAGATAAAAAGGACATTTAAAGGTCTAGTTCATATCCTGTCCTAACAGAACTGCCCCTAAGTCACTTTAAGATATTTGAGCTTACAATTAACACTGTCTAGTCTACAACATTGGTTGAATAAAGATAACTTAGGAACAAATTTTCTTTATACTCATATATAAAAACATTTCTGGAAGTCAATATTTTTCATCTTTCTGTTTAAACTTTTCAATATCAACTATTTTTATGTCTTTTATTGTAAGTACATAAGCCAAAACCTAAGCAATTGGTAGTTATATTAGAATAATTCACATTTTGACTCTTAGAGCAGCCTGTTCAACAAGTCAGAGTGGTAGAAAAGTTATTTACCTAGTCATTTAGAAGAAGATTTCCGAGTCCCCTCTGCTCCCCTAGGTACAGGCAGTCAGATCTGAGGAGCAGCTTGACAACCTGCACTCATGTGCCATTTTACATACCTGACTCCTTCTCTGCCTTTCCAGATTCCTTTCTTTCCTGCATCTTATCTTTCTTCACCTTTACTGCTCATTTTTCTTTTTTCTCTCTTTCCATTTTTTTTTCTTTGCCCAGCTTCTAATTCAGGTCTTCTTACATACCTAATAAGTATATCTGGGGCCTGTTAAAATGCTCAGAGGTAAATACATTCTGGAACCTCTGTGATCATCTATCATTTAATTTTCTTCAATGTGTTCTTAAAGTGATATTTCTAAATTTCTACAATTTGTTATTTTCAACAAATAGAAGACTGCTGTCTTACTCTGCAAAGTTAAGTGCTGTGCTTGTGTGCAATCAGTGGAATCAGAGCAGCAGAAAATTGAGAGGAACTGGGCAAAGAGCATCCTTGTGGCATGAGATTTAAATCCTTACATAGGTCACTATCATAGTTTGCTTAAAATTGTTTTACAACTATTATGGAAGAGAAAAAAATCTTGTTTGCACCTAATAAATTTAGTCTTTAAATTTGCTTATTGGAAGAAATTAGTACTTTTAGCCCTGTAATTATTTGTCATTTAAGCCTACTAACTCACTCTCACACTGAATTCTTCAAAAAGGGATAAAACAAGAAGTTATCAACTTGATTTATTTTATTTTTCTCATGTATCAAGATGTCATAGTCTTTAAAAAACAGAAATACACCTACTGATTGAACTAAAAATAAAACACTGTCATATTTTATTTCCAGATAAACTTTGCAAGGTTTTGTGCCCATGAAAACTGTTCTGCTGATTTACAAGTTTCTGCGAAATTTGGATTTTTGAAGTAAGTGTAGTTTACTCTTTGTTATTCATCAGCGTGGGCTAATGGGCATGCGCGTGGGTTTCAGAGAGAAAAGGACTAAGAACTGATACTTGGGGGTGAGCAGCATTTAAAGAACTGAAAACAGACATCATTTTCCTGAGAAAGATTAAGTTGATCTGTTTTTTTCAGTCACATAAGTATGCACTTAATGATATGAGCCCAGATGCTTTATGAAGCACGTTTTAATCTTTCGGCAGTAGCTGAGAAGATAGTTCAGTATTTAACTGTGGCCTTGGTCATCCTCGTTAGAATTGTAGTTGTGTTTCGGACATTGGTCAGCGCCTCTTGGTAGTAGAGTTGGGATGGCAAAGTGAGCTAGCCTTCACTACATTGTGCTTAGTTTGTCACCCAGAAAAATGGCTACGTCATTCAGACTGATCATGACACATTTGAAGAATAAACTACCTTGTTCTTCCAAATTCACAGAAGGGGAAATAGTAAAAAGGAAATGTGTGTGACATGCTTAGAAAATTGCCTAGCATATAGTGAACACTAGATAAATGTTGATTGCTGTTATTACATTGTTACAGGAAATAAACCACGGTAATTTTGTCAGGTCTAGATCCCCTAGATTGAAGTTGTTTTGCATGTCAGAGGGGAGGTGTGGACAGGAAGAAGCCTGGAGGGATGGAATGCACAGTTCAGGTTGAGGGGTAACTGTGCATGGGAAATAGAAGAAGAGAAGGAGGCATCAGTGGCTGGGCAGGAAAATGGGAAACCATATTGCAAGTAAGTCTATAAAGGAAGCAAGTTTAAATTGGGGCATGTTGAATTTGGTGGGACTTCTGTATGCCGCTTTCCAATTGAAAATCTAGTTCAGGATTACTGTGGGATCCCTGTAAGGGGAAATGTGCATTTCACAGAGGAAAAAAAACTGAAGATTAACATGTAGGTGGACAGTTTTATTGAAAGAGCTTAAGAAGAATAGGGAGTCCCTGTAGGAGACTGAAAAGAACTATGAGGAGAACTGAGTGCACTGTGAAATGACCAATATAAAGAAGAGAGACAACCACTCCTAAAACAAAAACAAAAGCAGACTAAGCAAACAACTAGGACAGGAACAGAACCACAGAAATAGGGATCACATGGAGGGTTAGCAACAGGGGAGTGGGGAGGGAAAAGGTGCAGAGAATAAGTAGCATAAATGGTAGGTAGAAAATAGACAGGGGGAGGTTAAGAATAGTGTAGGAAATGTAGAAGCCAAAGAATTTATAAGTATGACCCATGGACATGAAATAAAGGGGGGGAATGTGGGTGGGAGGGAGTGTACAGGGCAGAGGGGAATAAAGAGGGGGGAAATGGGACAACTGTAATAGCATAATCAATAGAATATATTTTAAAAAGAGAGATTTCTTATTGTAAGACTTTGTAAAGAAATAAGATAGCCTAATGACCGAGGAAAGATCATGGGAGTTGGCATTTAAATGTGACTTGTGGGCAAAAAAAGGATGTCAGTGGCAAATTTTAAGATAGAACTTTCAGGGCAGTAGGAGCCAAATGACAGTGTTAAGTGCTTAAGGGAAGAACATATACTGGAAACACATGGATTTATCGCATGTTATTTATTCAATAATGCAAAAGCAGGAAAAAGAGTGAATTGGAGAGAAACATTTTCTACTTATATCCAGGCGGCATGTTTCGTCCCTCTTTGAACCGTCCTCTGAAGCAGTTGACAGCTTCCCACTCCCTCTTTGGAGTGTCTTTTGCTTTGATTTTCATGGTCCTACTCCCTTCTCTTTCTGCAGCCTCTCTTTCTCAATTGTCTTTGGAGGATCCTTGATTTGGGCTCTGTCAATGCCCCAAAAGGTTTTCTCACCCCTTTCTCACACTCCCATATTTTGGGGGATAATTTTTCTTACAGCCGTGACCCCCCCCCCGGCCTGCCTATACTGCCAGTGCCCAAATCAGTCTCTCTGAGATCCACACACGTCCTGATGTTCATTGGCCCTGCCTTCTTGGCGCCCAGTCACTCTCCACCAATGATATCACAACGATTAGTCACCACAACCAACAACCTCGAGCTCAGTCTGCATTCTTCTGCCTTTCTGTTTTTGTTTGTTTTTTAAGTGTATTATGGATTATGCTTTTATAGTTTTCCCAATTTTTCCCCCTTTATCCCCCCTTCACCCTGCCCCCTCAACCCTCCAGCATTCCTCCACCCTAAGTTCATGTCCCTATAAGTTCTTGGAGTTCTGTTTCCTAAACTATTTTTGACGTCTCCCTGTCTATTTTATGCCTACCAGTTATGCTGCTTCTTCCCTGTACCTTTTCCCCTGCAATTCCTCCCTTCCCCCTCCACACTGAAATCCTTCCATGTGTTGTCCATTTCTCTGATTCTGTTCCTGTTCTAGTTGTTTGCTTAGTTTTTGTTTTTGTTGTTCTTCTTTAATTTTTTTAGGTTCATTAGTTGCTAGTTGTAAGTTTGTTGTCATTTAACTGTTCATATTTTAGATCTTTTTCTTAGATAAGTCCCTTTAACATTTCATATAATAATGGCTTGGTGATGATGAACTTCTTTAACTTGACCTTATCTGGGAAGGGCTTTATCTGCCCTTCCATTCTAAATGATAGTTTTGCTGGATAGAGCAATCTTGGATGTAGGGCCTTACCTTTCATGACTTCAAGTAGTTCTTTCCAGCCCCTTCTTGAAGGTTTTTTTTTTTTTTTGAGAAATCAGCTGATAGTCTTATGGGCACTCCTTTGTAATTGTCTCCTTTCCCCTTGCTGCTTTCAATATTCTCTTTGTCTTTAATCTTGGGTGACTTAATGATGATATGCTTTGATGTGTTACTCTTTGGGTCCAACTTTGGGACTCTCTGGTCTTCCTGGACTTCCAGGAAGTCTATTTCCTTTGCCAGTTTGGGGAAATTTTCCTTCATTATTTGTTCAAATAAGTTTTCAATTTCTAGTTGTTGTTCTCCTTCTGGCACCCCTATGACTTTAGATGTTGGTGTGTTTCAAGTTGTCCCAGAGGTTTCTCAGCCTCTCCTCATGTTTTTGAGTTCTTGTTTCTTCATTCTGTTCTGGTTGCATGTTTCTTTCTTTCTTTTGTTCCAAATCATTGATATGAGTCCTGGCTTCCTTCCTGTCACTGTTGGTTCCCTGAATATTTTGGCTTATTTTTTGGGGGTATCTTTCATGTGTTATTCCATTTTTTGACCAGGCTCAATCAGTTCTGTGAGCATTTTGATTACCAGAGCTTTAAATTCTCCATCAGATAGTTGGCTATCTCATCATTGCTTAGCTCTCTTTCAGAGGTTTGACTCTGTTCTCTCATTTGGACCCTGTTTCTTTGTCTCAGTGCACCTGTTGTAAGGGGGCGGGTCCTTATGTATTCATTGAAGCAGGGCAACCCTCTTTGCTACGCTATGGTGCTGTCTGTGGGGGAGGGGTCAGAGAGAGAACAGTGCAAGTCTCCTGCTTGTTTCTAGCTCACTTTCCAACAGACTCTAGTGTGAGACTGGGAGTTTCTCCTACCGGCAACCAGTTGGTCCACAGTCAGCTCTGAGTCTGAGTTTCCCATTTAGCCACCCCTGCCCACATGGTCCGCCACCTCGTCTCGGGTTCTCTCCAGTCTACTTGCCTTACTGGTCTGGTTGTTGCGTTTCCTTGTTTCATGAATTCCTTGGTTGTCAGAGTTCCATGAAGTTTGATTTTCTGGCACTTGTAGTTGTTTCTTGATTTTAGATTGGTTGTTATTCTCCTTTTGGCTGTGCAAAGAAGCAAAGGGTTTCTACCTGCACCTCCATCTTGGCTGGAACTCACTCTCCTGCATTTCTTATCCCTGACATTCAATAAATTACTAAGTTCTACAATATTACCACCTAAATATATATTTTTTTGCCCACCATAATTCTCTGTCTCCACCACTATTACTCTAAACCAGGTCCTCATTATCCTACATAGATCACCAGGCTTTTCAGCTTTCTGAGCTACTCACCTCTTACTTTGCATTCTAATTCCTTTACCATGATGTTTCCAGAGGGAGCTTTCTCACATGCACCTCTGTTAACAGTGCTTCAGTGGCTTGTTCTAACCTTAAACTCTGAACTCCTTAGCATCCGTTCTCACCAATTGCATTGATGGCCGACTACTTATAGTTGCTGGGCCACACCATGCTTTCTTAAGCCTCTCTATTGTTTCACTTCTTGATTTCACTTCTCCAACTTATCTACTTGATTAACTTTTATTTATCTCATAAATGTCACCTGTTTCCTAGGTGAAGTCCCTTTGGTCTCCAGGTACGAACCCTCTGTCCTCCTGTGTCCCTCAGCCCACTGCACTTACACTCACTTCCATTCTCACCTGTCTCCACACCACCCTGTGAGCTGCTTCAAGGCAGGGTCTTGTCTTTTCATTTTTGTGTTGCCAGTGCCTAAAACAATGTCTGCAACACTGTGAGTGACGAATGGATGTCTGCTGAGGCTGGAACAAGGTTCTAAAGAAAACAGCATATAATGGGATTGGACTCAGGTGGAGAAGTTAGCCTTAGAAAGAAATTAAAATGGTTCTGCATCTTGAGCTAAGCAGCTATGAAAAGATGCTTGACATTGGTTAAGACACATTGTGGAAGGAAATAAAATGTAGAGAATTCATGGATAGCCAGGATATAAAAGCAGGTTCATATTTGGAAAGTGAGGGCCTTTAGGATGAGCTTGGGAACTTGAAAGGCATGGGGAAAGATTCACAGTAGTTGTTATGATGAATGGGATAGGAAGTCAACTAGGAATGAGTGAAAAGGTTAACAAACAGTGCTGAGTACCCTGCTGGGTGGGACCACATATGGCAGAGAATAAATTAATTCTTTTCACTTAGGCAATGCCAGTATAGCCTTGAGCATCCACTGTTGAGGGCCAAGAAGCCCTAACCTACTTGATTAATAATTGGATTTTAAACTTAAATTATCCAGATTGGCTGCTCAGCTAGTCCAAAAGCAGTGGCTGTTATTTTGTATCCTAGCC